TAAAAATATTCTCTGAACACTGACTGTCCTATAAATTTAAAGGTATAATTTAAATTTATAATTTAAATTATAAAGATATCATGAAAGATACTAGCATAATTATGAGTAACTAAAACTGCTGGTGAATTTTTTTAATCTAATATATATTAGGAATATCCTCATCCATATGTAAAATAATGGTCAGAATTTAAACAGAATAATGGCAAGAATTTGAGTATAACCAAGGCTATAAAATCATAACATTTTAGATTCATAAATGGTTGGGCTGGGTAAAGTCCTTGCCTTGCACACAACCAACGTGGATTTGATCCCTGGCACCATGCATAATCTCCTAAGCCTGTCATGAGTGATCCCTGCGAAAGAGTTAAGAGTAAACCCTGAAACTGCCAGGTGTAGCCCCAAAACAAACAAAAAAGAACTTCAGACGTTCTTAACTCCAAGGATTTGCTTGAAAGAGATCTAAGTCTCTTTTCTAATGGCATCATCAAGGAAAGAGTCATTCTACACGTCACTTCCCAGAATGAGTGAAGTACTTCTTGGTGCTGCGGCTATTTGATAGTTCTGTTTACAATCAATGTTTTCCTCATACTAAGTGAAATCTAGTTTTCCTAGAACTCCAACCCACTGATCTTTGAATCCAGATTTATTTACTTCTAAACTTGGTCCTTAAGAAAGCACTTTTAATTCATTTACATTTTTTGAGTTTTATTTCTATGAATTTACTAAGTTTTTATATATTTTACTCTGCTAATTATAGTAATTGTAGCAAAAATTTGAAGTACTATTCACATGAAACATTAAACTTCTAATAAATTTTAGAGGTGTTTTAATATAAAGAACTGAATCTGAGATAACACAGAATTGTGCGTAAGGGTTCAAGGCAGGTCCCAAAAGTCATCTGGTTCAGTCTAAGGAACAGATAAATACTCTGTTGAGGAGATGGAAAGTACAAAAGAGCAGACTAACGGTGGCAGGGTGGAGAGACAGTGGTAATAATCACCAGGATCCCAGACATACAGGGAAGGAATTTGTCTTAAGTAAAAGTCTCAGTAATAGCAGTAAGGATCAAATACAGGAGATGAGAGCAGGAAAACAATGGTGTACGCAGCAAGGAATAAATAGCGAGGGTACTGAGAGTACTGACCCAGGAGCATACTTCTTAAACGGGTGATAAGAGTAACTCTCCCTTCAAACTCCCCCCCCCCCCCCCCCCCATGGATAGACACATGGGCACCAACAGAAGTAGTTGTTGAAAAGCAGGACACAAAAGAAAAAGAAAAGCAAATTGATACAAAGGTGGAGCCTGATGCAACATTAGCTCTAGGGGTAAAAATTGAGAATCAACAAACAAGTGAAACTTATGTTAGTAAGTTTATGGCTTCCCTAAGTTAAGGAGACATGAGAAAATTAAGTGACATTTCAACAACCCCGAATCCTCCTTGACTTTTTATACATAGAGTCCAAACAAGAATAAAATAAATACAAATCTAGTAATTAGGTAAATGATAAACTTTATATCTAGGTGTAATCTATGGCTCATTTTAGGTATTATCCATGTAATTTAAGTTAGTATCTCCAAATTATTCTATAACCCAAACTGGAGTTCATACTGAAAACCATAAGGTGCTAAAATATCTCTGTACAAAAGTCTGTTTTTAGAATATAGTAGTTACCAATGCAAATAAATATATACTTAAAATTACTTTAGTTAATTTTAATAATATTGGTCTACAAAAGCATTATTATAGTGTCAAAAATCAAGAGATAAAAAAGAGAAAATTTCTGCAAGGCAAGAAATTGAAAGCAGCTAATATCCCTTGAACTCTAAATAAAATTTTAATATTTAAAATGAAGAAGCCAGAGAGATTATACAGGGGTAAGGAACTGCCTTGCATATGACTTGATTCTGGTTCAATTCCAGTGACCCTCCAGGCCTAATCCCTGAGCACTACTGGAAGTGAACAAATTTCACAGCTTACTCTGCAAAAAAGCATCTATCTTTCCTTCCTTTACTAAGAGTGAAAAGTTGAGCACAAATTTCTCTCTCACGTTTATTAATCAGGTATACATTAACCTAAATGCATACCACTAGTCAATTAACTAGTGATATCATGCTAACTGATCTATTATTATGAAAAACCATTCCCTAGCGCAATTACTTCTTAAATGTGTCTGTGTACGGCGGTACTTGTTAAATTTAAGACTTGTTCAGAGTAACTCATCCTCAGAATTAACTAGAGGTCTTGGTTTAATCCTTTTTTATTAAAATTTTTTTTGGTTTAATAGTTTTTGGAACCGAAGAATCTTCAGTAAGCGCTCATGTTGGAATTGACCTATAAAGCTTCTTTTCTTATGCAATAATTCCTTTTATAATATCCAACCAGTGCATAAGTATATATAATGATGGAGCTCTGTTATAACAAAGCAACAATGACATTTTCAAATAGCAGCCTTCCTATAGTTCTTTCCTGTGGGGCAAAATTTGCTTCCTTGTAATTCTTACCAGAAGTCTAAATTGTGCCCTCTAAAATGTCTTCCAAACCACACATCTTTTTCTAGGTTCAACACCCTTCAATTATTTTCAGTCTTTTATAAAAATGATCTCATGACTATGCTTTCCTGGTCACCTTCCCAGGTTCAGTTTTCATTTGTCAATACTTCAAAATAACTTAAAAGGACATCATTTAGGGGCCACAGAGATAGTACAGGAGGTAATGTGCTTGCCTTTCAAGGGGCTGACCCTGGCTCAATCCCCAGCACCAACAGGAGTTATCCCTGAGTGTAGAGCAAGGAGTAAGCTCTTCGAAATGGTGGATGTGATCCAAAATCAAAAATCAAAACAAAAAAAGGGCACCATCAAATCAAAGCATTATACCATGTGTCTTGAAAACACCCTGGCATATGCAGTCCAAAATTCTGTTTTCATTTTTGCAAATGAGATTCAACTGATGACTGATTTAGCTTTAGTTCTATTAACAATAAAGCTCATTGTTCTATTAATAAAGTTGTCATCCTCTCTTGAACTATATAATAGACACTGCCATTTCGTAAGATCTAAAGTCTTATCTGTGTTGAGAGCTGTCACCTAGGTACAAGATAAAAACTATTTAGCTCCCATAAATTCAGATAATTTAGGACAAAATGAATGGTTACAAGACTCCTGCTGCAAAAATGGTACATATTGGAACCAAGAAATATGGGATTCTTAGGGAAAAGGGCATGGATACTGTCATGGCATTGAGGATGATTTCCTAACCAAACCAGTCAATGGCATGCTGTTGAGGCATTTTTTCCCTGAAGCATTAGAGATTCTCTATTTCACCCAAATATCTATGACACTTAGTATCTTCTTAGAGCAAATATGTGTATGTGTGTGTGTGTTTTATTTTAAGCTATCCTAATGTACAGAAAAGTTGCATGTCTGTCCAGCTAGCACAAGAAACTTTCTTCCCTTAAGCATATAAAGGAAAGATGCCATCATCAATAATCCATCATCTATGGTATATTTTAGTATGGGTTTTCTATTAATAAGAACATTCTCCAATATAATGACAACATATCCAGGATATTAATGATAATTACTATCTGCTATGGATCCAATTGTGCCCCCAACACCCAAACAAACATAATTGTGTGTCTCTATTTGGAACAGAATCTTTGTAGATAAGATGATGTTGGTGTAGAGTGAGTCATTAATATGGTATTCCAATATGAAATAATTTATTGGCTTTTTGGGTCACAGCTGGCAATATTCAGGTGTTACTCCTGGCTCTGTGCTCAGGAATTACTCTAGTGGTGCTTGGTGCTTGGGAGACCATATGGGATGCCAGGATCTAACCCAAGTTGGTTGTGTGCAAGGCAAATGCCCTACCCACTATACTATCGCCCCAGCTTCATAGAGTTTTTAAAAGATTCAGAGACAACAGTAGAATCTAGCATGAAGATAAGAGACAGAGTTGAAGGATGCATCTATATCTAGAGTCCAGAATTCCTAGAATTTGTCATTTCCAGAAGCTGTGAGTAAGGCATAAATTCTTTCTAAGGAGAAACTAATTCTGCTGACATGTTAACTTTTGTCCTCTAGTCTTCAATGGTGAGACATTAAATATGTTTTTCTAAGCTATTTACTTTATGGTATCTGTTTAAAACAGACCATTTCATTTCCAAACTCTATAATTCATTGAAGATTTATGAATATTATGGACATACAAAGGCCAGTTTGATCCCAGAACCTCATGACATTCTCCACCAGCATCACTCAAGCCAAGCACTATCACCAGGAGTGGCCTTTGGCCCCAAGTCCCTAAGCATTGCTGAAGAGGATCCTACAAAAATAAAAATTAAAAAATGTATACAGCCAAAATAAATACTACAAAAAGTATAGAACTACTTGTGAAATAAATGGTGTAATAATTGGTATAGGATTTCACCGCCACTTTCTATTCAACAATGGTACAATTACCAGCTACTAGTAGTGCCAACTCCGACAACTGAGTGCCTGGCACGTACATGCTGAATCTGGCGTTTCACAAGCATATTACAAAGCCATGACAATTGTCTTAGACTGTGTTTGGTTATTTACAGAGGTGAGAATTTTAATGATGAAAATCATATGTTACAGAAGTTAGGTGAAAGGGAAAGTTCACACAATTACTAAATGACAAAGTTGGGATTTAAGCCCAAATTCTCAAATTCCAAAGTTAGTGACCTTTTTCCTTTCTCTTGCCTTCACATAACCTTGTGTGTCTCAACTGAAGCAATTTTTCCCTCAAGAAGATATTTGGGAATATCTGTAAGACAATTTTATTTAAGACAAAACTGTTTCAAGAGACAATGAATAAGCCCCTGAAATAGGAAGACGACTTCAAAGTTAGATCAAAAGGTTTTCCAAGTTTAAACCTTAGGTGTTGATGGTAGTGAGAAAAAAAGGGACAAAAACATAAATATTTCTATTATAAATTTTTATCTTATCTCAAGTGATAATAAATGACCATTCTTACCTGTAATGCACTGAAATTGTCCATCTTCTCTTCTTATTGTAAATGCTTCCCCTGGGTTAACTTGTACCAGAATGACCTAAAATAAGGGGAATTAAGTGTTAAAACAACAACAAAACAAATCAGCATATCAAGACATTAAATGCTGCTAAATAAGAGTAGACAAGATCTACTTGAAACTAGGAAAGAAAATGGAGATCACATATTTATTAAAAAGTATTTCTTTGCTTTTCTAAATATCAGACGTAAATCCAAATCAAGGTAATAAAAAAGATAGGGGCAGATTTTTACTGGAAATCAGCAAACCTCAATCTGAAAAAAGATGGAATTAAACTACCAAGTATTGGAATCCCTTATGTTCTTTAGTGTTTTCCAAGGTATATATTAATAGGAAGAACATCAATATACTTAGTGTGACAACTTACAAAATATTGGAGAATGTTAAATTACTTCATTTTAAATGGCTTTCATTATATAGATAATATGCACTAATATGACACCAGAAAAATAAAAACTAATAACATGTACATCAATTTTTTAGTTTTGTTTCCTATGTATAGGTTTAATATATATTTAATATATACAATATATGTGTTTATATCACTATAGCATTGTCCTCCTGTTCATCAATTTGCTTGAGCGGGCACCAGTAATGTCTCACAACAAATTGTAAGACTTGTTGTTACTGATTCTGGCATATTGAATACATCATGGGGAGCTTGCCAGGCTTTGCCGTGCCAGCTAGATACTCTTGGTAGCTTGCTGGGCTCTCCTAGAGGGGCGGAGGAATTGAACCTGGTTGGTCGCGTGCAAGGCAAATGCCCTACTTGCTATGCTATCACTCCAGCCTGTGTGTGTGTGTGTGTGGGTGTGTAAATACATACACACATATATTGGCGCCAGAAAAATAGTACAGGGATTGCTTTCCATGTGAGTAACCACAGTTTGATCGATCCCCTGGTATCACCTATGTTATCCCCAGGACCACCAGGAGTGATCCTTAAGCACAGCTGGGTGTACCCTCTTTCCCAACATATATCTCATACTTTTATTATTTTATTTTTATGTTTAATTTTGTCTTTCTGGATCACAGCTGGTGGTGCCCAGAGCTTACTCCTGGCACAATGCACAGGGATCCCTCCTGATCCCCATATGAGGTGCCGGTGACTGAACCCAGGCTGGCTGCAAGCAAGGCAAGTGCCCTATCAGGGCTCAGGGGTTACTCCTGGCTCTGCACTCAGGGATCACTCCTGGTGGTGCTTGGGGGACCAAATGGGATGCTGGGGATCAAACATGGCTGCATGCAAGGCAGGTATTCTTACTTGCTGTACTCTCTCTCTGGTCCCCCACATGCTTCTGTTTTAACTAAAAATATTTTACTCATTGAACTACTCAAACATTCTTTTAATTAAGAAACTGTGGTAGTTTCAACGATTCCACTATGAACAATACTGAAATGAGCATTCTGGTGCAGTTTTCCCTCTTTAAAATTAGTACCACTCTCTTAAGATTTATTCTCAGAAACAGAGTTCTTGGTCTGCTTAACTGTGCTCTTCCCTCCCACCCCGACCCCATTATCTTTTTGGTTTTGGGACCACACCTGGCAGTGCTCAAAGGTATTACTCTTTGCACTGTGCTCAAGGATAGGATTCAGAGACCATATGCAGGGCTGGAAATAAAACCCACATCAGCTGTGGTCAAGGCAAGACCTTATCTGCTGTGCTCTCTGGCTTCTTCAAGTTCTTTCTGATAGGGATTTACATATTCTTATTTCCCCCAGAAGTCTATGAATACTCTCTGATCATACTTTATACAATCCTTAAAATTATAGTTTTAAAGTCTTTGCCACCAGGAGAGATGAAAATAGTACATTGTCTTGATTTGTACTTCTTTGACTTGTAGTAAAGCTGAATGTTTTCCTATGTTTGTAATGATCTCTTTTGTAAATACTGTTTATGCCATCTCACCCATTTATCTTTTGGAGTCTTATATGATCTTAGTGATTTCTATGCATTCTCTGCATATTCATAATATACCGTAGTATGCTGCAATTACAGTCTCATTTCATTCTTTTATTTTTCTTAAATACAACTGTTAATTTTTCTTTTGTCAATGTTATCCACTTTTTCTTTTGTGACAGCTATTGTTTTTAAATTTAACGTGTGACTAGTTTCTAGCACTGGAAATATAACTCTTCTGTACTCTCGGAGAGCCCGGCAAGCTACCGAGAGTATTCGATATGCCAGACACAGTACTAAGATATAAACATAAAATACACACTGGATTTAAAAGACAATATTACAAAAATGTAAAACAACTAATAACTGAATATTAATTATACACTGAATATTCTGAACACACTGGGTTAAACAACATTGAAGTAATATTCTAAACACATTGGAATATAACATTAACTTCACCTCTTTTCACTTTCCTGCTCCCTTATTTGAGGGAAGAAGCCCCCCAAGCAGCGCTCAGGGTTGCCTTGGGAAAGACAGCAGACCTGGCTGGACAGTTCAATATTCTGTCTCATACAATGCAGCTTAGGCCCAGCAGTGTGGGGGAGAGGGCGGGGTGCGGGCATAAAGCTAATCCAATAGTGCCGAGTGGTCTCCCAAGGCTAAACTTGGCAATGCACAGAGGCAATAGAGTACTGCAATTTAACTTAAGCCTTGCGCATACAAGGCAGGTTGTCCCTTGGCCCCTGAACTATCTTCAAAGCCTGTTTTAACTTTGTTACTGTGGCTACCAAAAAATGTAAAATACAAACGACAGCATTATATTTCCATTGGACAACACTAGCCTAGAGATGAGATGAAAATATGTTTCTATTCTTATCTAATTTTAAGATAATTAAATTGCTTATATTTAATTATCTACTGCACCCAAAATCTGTCTGGAGATTTGATCAAAACTATTTTCCCCTGAAAGCGAACATACAAAATTTGTTAAATTTAAGATATCTTCTTACAGACCTATTGTATCTATACTATTTTGGCAAAAGTCATTTTGAGAATGTGTCTTTAATCATTTTAAATGTTGTAACCTTAAATATATCTTTTCTGATGGCATAACACCATTACTATTCTTCTTCAAACATTTTTTGATATTAATTGGTAATTAAATGCTATGATAAAATGTTAAAGCACTATCAGAGCAAATAGGATCATGTACCTAATCTATTACCTGAGCATGTATATGTATGAGGGTATTTAAGGACATTCTAGAAACTAAGTGTTAATCTGACTCCCAAAGGTTTTTCAGAAGCAGAGAAGCACAAATGTAGAGCTCCAAGAGTGTAAATGTCACAATTTATCATATTCAGTGAACCAAAATCTATTTTGCAGTTCAGTATGGCTGGATCATAGTAGTGAAAGAAGTTTAGGCACACAGGAACAAGGAAGAAATATTGTAAGAGACAAGAGAAAGGAACAGAGTTATAAAAAGTCTTGTGAGCCATTTACAGGGCAATACAAGTGCTACTTAAGTAGGCAGTACTATGGCAGCTTACCCTGGGGTCAAGACAGAAAGGTACTGTGTGTGTGTGTGTGTGTGTGTGTGTGTGCGCGCGCGCAGGGGGGGGGGGGGGAGCTTTCAATACATAATTGATATATAGTACATAATAATTATCTATACAGATTTCTTTTACTTATTAACTCCTGTTTTTAAACGTTTTTTCCTTTTGTTTTCTGTAGGCTATGTTGTTTTTCCTGACTTTTCAGTTGAATATTCTATTTCATTTGTTAGTAAGCTCTGCATTTAATACTGAATTTTAAATAACTCAGCATTAATTATGTACTTTATTATTTTAAGGATTTTATTATTTTGTTCTTAATTCTCTCTACAATCCAAGATAGTGCTAAAGAAAACATACAACTTTGAAAGTGTGCTGAAGGATTTTCAGTGTTTTTATTTATAAAACATTTTTATCAATCTCAATATATGCATTTACTTAAAAACTAATCTATTCTTTTTCATTCTTTTTAATTAGTTTTAGATTTGACATCAGAATGAATAAATAGAGGATGTTACCTGACACTAGTGTTGGTGTACAGCACAGTTATTAGTCTAATACTACTGATGATTATTCAAAGGGTTTCTGTACTATGTAAAACTGTACATAAAACTGTCTGTAGATATTGCAATTTTCTAGGAATTAGCTCATTATTCTCATTACATTTCACTACTTCTTTTGGTGGGAAAGGGTCTCTCAAGTAGTACTCAGTGAGTCTTGGGGCCACTCCAGGGGCTACTTAGCCAACAAGGTAAGAGAATCTCAAAGTGAGGGCCTGGGGAAGGAGGATGCTTAGACCACAGACCATCAGGGACACCCTCAGCAATACTGGGGCCTCCAATGATATACTGGTGGTACTTGGTAGGCTATGTGATACTGGGAATCAAACCTGGTCCTTGCATGTACCCTAATCCCTGTACTAAATTCCCAGGGGTCCTCACTAAAATTTTACTTGGAAATAATGTTTAAAGTAGTGCTTACTCCTGTGCTTTGCTATGCACTTTACTTAATGCTATTTCTTTTAATAATGATAATCTATAAGCAGTACTGTGGAATTCTATGATATACTAACATTCCCACTGAATTCATTTGCTAGGAAGAAAAAGAAAAACTGAAAAAACTAAATATGGCATCTAAACTAAAATATCCTGACATTAAGTTGGGCAAAAAAGGGAGAAATAGATCAGTTTTGTTTTGGGGCCTGACCTAGTAATGTTCAGGGCTCATTCCTGCCTCTGTGCTCAGGTATCACTTCTAGTGATGCTTGGGAAACCCATGTGTGCTACAAGGGATTGAATCCAGGTCGGATGTGTGCAAGGCAAGCACCCGAAACGCCCTACTACATCTCCACTCTCCTTTATCACTATTAAATAATACAATGTTCAGGGAAACAGTGGGATGATGGAGGGAGATGAAATGCCTTTGTTTATTTAAAATCCATTTACCTACTCTTGTATGTACTATGAACATTAAGAAGAAAGAAAAAAATCAGAGTCCCCAAAAGCTCACAATCTGGAGAGGTTCTGAGGCACACACGTTTCCAGTTAACTGTACAGTATAACACG